AAATGAGCCCAGCTTGTGTCAAGTGGACAGAATCTTACCAACACAGTCTCTCCAAGCACATTCCGCACAGCACTCGCCTCTCTGGCTGTATCTGCTTCATGGACTTACTGAAGTCTTATAATGATACAAACTTATGTTGAATTTTTGGTAGTGAAATTAATTAGAATTAACTGTCTAAACACAATATTAGTATGAAAACAAGATTTAGTGTGTCTTTTGTGACTTGAGGAAGGATAAAAATGAGTGTAATTTCTAATAAAAAACAGAAAAATATCATTAAAACACGTCTTAAAGATGTTTAAGCAGACTCTCAGGCTCTCAGTCGTTTCCTGTAACCTCTCTGGTGATCAGGTGTGTCCCTCTTGAGTCACCAGGTAGTGTGTGCCTTCTTCCCTTGGAAGGTGGCGTGTGGAAATTGCCAGTTTTCCTGGCAGTTCCCGGAGATGCCCTGACATGTCTCAGTGCACATTGTGTCTGGTTTGAGCTCAGTTTTGTCACCCAAACTTCTGTGGCTGTGTAGTGCGTGGTTTTTTTTCTTTTATTTGTAGAGTTTATTGCTCCCTTTTATAAAGCACAGGTAGGTGGAATGGCTACATATTATTTCATATTTACTTGAGGTTATCTCCAAATATTATCTTTAGAAAACTACGCCCTTTTTAAAAATTGAATTAAAATTGCTGAATAGAACGTTCGTTGTTGTAAAAATGATTCTGGAAGTGTTTTTTTCATAAAATACAATTATGAATGTTTGAAAGCTACCCTCATATATCACTGTACATTAAAACTTTAGTATAAATTCATTATTTCCATACTGTTATTGTGGAGGGCCTTATGAACATTAGTTTACTAAAATATTACTATACTCTCTTGTGTCAAGATTTTACTTGAAAACAAATGAGTCTGGATTCTGCTGTTCTTAGCGTGTCTGTAGTGACGCTCGTAGGTAACTGTCTCCCTTCCATGACTAGTTCGGGAGGGTTGCAGCTCTGGATTTAATTAGATATCACCTGGTAGGCTCCTGGAGCCTGGAGATGCTTTCTTCACTAGATACTGGTTCTTGCTGCTGCGTACTTGTGTGATGTGCTGAATGGTCATGGCTCCTTCTACAACTGCATGGAGAGGGCGAATGCCAGCATGCATAGTAGAGGAGATGAGAAGAGATGATTCCTGATTCCTGGAGAGAGATGTTCAGTGAAGTAGTCCTTTACTGAATCTATATCATCTCTCTGCTTATGAGAATTCACCCATTCCTTATTATTATGTCCCTTTTGTTGAACTCTGGTGTAGGATCACTTACTATAGTGTTAATTGGAGCAGCAGTAATTACCCTCAGGGAACCATCAAGATTGGGTGTTTGACCCTCAGAGGAGGGGACCCAACCATTCCATCCTGCAGCTCTCCCAGCTGTGGGTATTTCTGTTCAGCTGCATAAAGTGTTGGGAGTGGAGGTTTGGAGGTTAACTGAAAGAGGAACTTTGTCAAATGCAGCTATGGAAAGCAAGATAATTGTGAAATTTAATTAATGATCTTGGTGAATGATTGATTATATATGGGAATCAGGGGGAGAGGAAGGGTATAAATGATTGCCATATTTTGCTTTGTGTGTCTTTGGAGAGGATGCTGTCACTGTCGCTGTTAAGGCTGTAATTTAGGCAAAAACTTCAGTTGTAAACATCCTAAATGTGAGGTGTTGGGCTATTCAGGAAGTGATATGGGAAAGTAGGATACACACACACACACACACACATATATATATATATATATACATATATACATGTATGTATATTGTGGACTTCATAAAACCATCTAAGCTGAAAGAAGTTGGAATACATAAAGTTGAAGTTACTGGTGTAGATTAGGTTTCCTATGCAGAACACGAAAGAGGGAAGTACGGAGCTTCAGAAGCACTTGCATTTGTTCAGGAGGAAGTGGTAGGGAAAGCGGAAGGGGAAGTGTTTTACAGAAACCATGTGTTTCATCTTACAGTCTTTCTAAAGCAGTTCCAATACCGTTGTCACTGTGGATTTTAGAATATTTAAAAGTAGATTGTTTGTTTCTTAGATGCTGCATGGTAGCAGCCTGGGTTGAGTGGACTTCCCATCTAATACTAGCATTTACTCTTCTCTTTCATAAGAATGGCTTCTTTACAAGGCCATAAGGCAGTGATTCTCAACTTGTGGTCGCAACTCCTTTGGATTGCATATCAGATGTGCTGCATATCAGATATTTATAGTATGATTCATAACAGTAGCATAATTACAGTTATGAAGTAGCAACAAAAATAGTTTATTGTTGGCGGTCACCATAGCATGGGGAACTGTATTAAAGTATGGCAGCATTAGGAAGGTTGAGAATCACTACTATAAATGAGCTATATTCTGTGAGACATAAATCCAAGAAAGAGGTTTCCGTGAGTTATTTCCAATCATTAATTTGCTAGTTAGATGTCTTATTTTGGAGTATGTATAAAAAATTCGTTATTGATCACTGGTAATTTGCTCTGAATGATTTCATATTCTAGTTCATTTTTTTGTTACTTGTTTCTATGTTTGACATGTGTTAGCAATTATGATCATTTTGTGTGAGAATAATGTATTTTTATTAGAAATATTCTGAAACTCAAAGTTTTTCTTGATTAAAGAAATTTCTGTAGAAATAAAACCATTTAGTAACACAGGAAGCTTATCTGTTGTTTGTGGTCAGCAGTATGGCAAACCTAACTAACTTGTGAATACATATCTAGAAGTAACTGTGTGTGTGTGTGTGTGTGTGTGTGTGTGTGTGTGTGAGAGAGAGAGAGAGAGAGAGAGAGAGAGAGAGAGGGAGGGAGGGAGGGAGGGAGGGAGGGAGGGAGGGAGGGACAGACAGAGAGATGTGTGTGTGTGTGTGTGTGTGTGTGTGTGTGTGTGTGTGACAGACAGACCGAGAGACAAAGAGACAGAGAGGCAGAGAGACAAATGGGGAGAATGTGAATATAAAACCTCATACTTAATTCTAATATATATAGAAGTATAATTTTCACTTATCACTATTATTAAAATGATTCAAAGAACAAAAACTTTTTTCCTCTCTTCACCCCTGCACAAAGTAACTTTACTTTATACTGTACCTGTAATTAAGGAAGAAAGTAAGTTCTAGGAACTAGGAGGACTTCAGCTACTGATCTTTGTGCATCCTGCTTTATACTGTCAGGGAGAACAGTTCAACAGCACAGCTGCTCTGTCACTGACATGAGCTGAGAGGAGGTTTTCCCCCTCTATACTGTTTATACACTTGTCTATAGACCTGCTGGCTGGTTGAATTTTAAAGAGTGAAGAGGTTTAAAGACTTGTCCCCTGAGGGATGCTGCTGCCAGTTGGGAAGCGAGCTGAGGCTGCTTTGCAGGAGTGTGTTGCATGCATGTTGCTTATGGAAAAGAGGGGTGTTTGTGAAAGATTAAGCAACTAAGTGAGGGGCTTCCTCCTTAATTTGAGCATTAAAATTGATGTGAAATATACAGCTAGTTTACATATATTCAGAGGTAGACATTGACTTTGGGTGCTTTTTATTGTTTCTGAATTATGTGTGCAATTTAGCAAGAGTTTATCTTATACTCTTTATAGGTGTAGTAAATATGGTAAATGACTTCATGTTATATGACACAAGCTAACAATTAAGCAGCAGTCAAGTGAAAACAGCTGTCCTCATTGTAATGAGCTGGATTCAGTCATTTATTTCATGTCTAGTGACTTCTTTAATTACATTTAGTAAAATATTGTAAAAGTAAGATAACTTTCAAACATGGGCCTGTGCTCAAACTTTTAATGGCACACATTCATAAGCAAGCCTGCATACTTGCCCTACGGCTAGAATGCTCATAATATGATGTTTTTCTTTATATTTCTGTGAGTTAGTTCCCGAGAAGCTTCCTTAGGTATTGCTATTGGATTTCTACAGTATTTTAATTTAAACTGATAATTTCCATACATATATTTAAATTAAGAAATTCACTTAAATATCTAGTACTATATTTCTAATGTAGGCTAATGCATTTGAATCTGTCTGATTTTACTGGGGTTTAGTTTTTCTGATAAAAGGTGTTAGTTGAAGTGACTGCTTCCTTAATACATTTGCTTCTTTGCTTCTTACCAGGCATTGTCTTTAGTTTCTGTTCCTTTGAGATCACCTAACTAATTTCTATGATGTCTGTAATTATAGGTGGAAATTTAGAATCAAAGTTAAAGTTGAGTGTCTTGCTCAGCTACATCAAAGTGCGTTTTTGTGTTTTTCCAACTGTCTGACAGTTGTTTGCATTTTATTATAATTTGATAAATATTATCTCTAGATTTTTAATGAAATTGTCTGTTTTAGTAAAACATTGATTTAAATATTTATCTACTTAATATTTTAATGTTTAACTGTATTATAATAGAGACTTATTTAAGATGCACATTTAAGAGGGCTATTTGAAATAAATTTAGTACCATGTAAATGTATATTTTAGAGTCTATACAAAAATCTCTTCATTAAAAAGAAAGCATTTGAGTGTGGAACATGCAGAGTTGTTATACTTCTCAGTAATTCACTCTGCTGCCAACTTCATTCCCCTTTCTCTGCCTGCATTTTAATTGAAACAACATTTATATTTTTGAGCCAGAATCTGTGAAAAGTCCCTGTGGCTAGCCTGTGGTACAAGTAGCAGCAGACACAGCTTGCCCATATGGTGCAGTGCTTCTTGTGAGATCCATATGGCCTTGTTGAAGGGGATCCCAGCAGGGATGCGAAGGGTGTTAATACCCTTCAGGCCAGGCCTTTCCCCCCTGGGGCTTCCGGGCATTGTCAGTGCAATCTGCCAAAGCACACACTTAATTCCTTTTTAATAATCAATTATTTTAGTCTGAGAACCTGTGCCTTTGTCTTAAAAATACTTTACTCGCTCCTTGAAAATGTCTCAAAAAAAGTTTGAACTGCATTTAAAAACCATTCTAAAGCATCGCTTTATTTTGAATTTGCATTTGTAGGAAGTACTGCAGAGCGTGCCCAAGTTCTGTTTTCCCTTTGACGTGGAAAGGTACAGTATAAGTTAATAATTAAGATAACTTTATACCTTCTTAGCACACATTTCAAAGTGATTAAATATACTTTTTTTTTGTTTTTTTATGAGACAGGGTTTCTCTGTATTGTTTTGGAGGCTATCCGTCCAGCTAAATATACATTTTAAGAAAATGACATGTGTCTTCATTTTTTTCTATCCAAATACTGGAGATGAGAGGTTCAGAATTAGATAATTAGATAATGCCTATCCGATTATTCTCTTGCTTCCTCTGCCATGGCCAGTGAGGAGGTTTTAAAGTAATGTTGGCCACAGGTTATGTTTCTTCTTTTTATTCTTGAGGTATAGATTATAAGCACTAGCAGAAAAACATGTCATTGGTCTTTGATCAGGGCCTTCAGATGGTCTTTTCAAACTCGATGTGTGTCCCCTGCTCTCACTCCCAGCTCGTCCTGATTGGAAGAGCATCTGTGTGATGTTGTGAACTCACTGTCAGTTGTCTCCCGACAACAGCAGCATGGAACAGTGCTTTAGTGCGGCGGCTGTGGGAAGCTTCCCTGGTAGCTTTGAAAATTCCATTTTGTTTATGTGTCACTGTAAATACCAAATGAACTTCTTGCATGTAGTTGGAATTTAGTATAATATGTATCTTAGGAAATAATGACGTTTATTGTTTTTAATATGGTTTATCACCATTGCTAGTTTTATTTGAGTGTACTATAAAAAGTTTTTAAAAGAAAACTTATTTTAGCAAGACACTTTTCCAAGGACTAGTGAAACTGAAATTTTATTGTATAGATTGTGAAGTGATCTAATAATATGCTAGTTGATACTAATAAATATTGTTGATGAAAATTATTTTCTTACCTTATTTGTGGAGAATTAATTGTTTTGTCTTACTCCAACATTAGGGTATTAAATTAATAGTAAGAGCAAAATAAAGGAAGAACAATTACAACAGGATATTATAAATCGTGAACACTAGAGCATACATTATTCACTGGGGGATTTATTTGAAGTTTATAAAACTAGAAATATCCCTGTACATTTAGATGTATACTTGCCCTGGCCATTTAGATGTGTACTTGTTTAATAATTGGTGTTTTTCACAAAATAATTTACTGTTTTAGGTGACTGGTAGTGGTTTTTTTTCAACTTTTCAAAAATCCATGTGACTATTTTAAAACCCAAATTTATGTCATCAATATTTTGTTTTGGGACTAAGAACCTCATGTTCTATTTTGGTTTCATGAACTAGTTTGTGGAAATATTTTTATGCATTTTAAACAGAGGTAAGCATTCTATCTAGTAACTTATATCATCACTTATGCTGAAGTGGGACATATCATTGGATTCTATGCTATTTACTTTGAAATCAGGTAAAACTCATTACAGATAACCTAGTAGACTTCTTTTGTAGGAAGTATATTCTTTTAAGTCGGTGTTTGATTCTACAGCTTAGTGATAATTCTAAAAGATAGTGCTAAGGAAAAATACCAGTAGTTCTTAGTGTAATGTACTACATTGGATAATAATTTCAACAGAAGGAGCAATTCAACACCATCACAGGATGAAGCAGCATGATTTGCTATTCAAGTAGTTAAATCTTGGGAAAAGTAGATTACCTTAGACAAGAAAGAGGCTACAAGTAAGTGTAGAGGTTGAATCTGTTGATTTTTTTTTCTACAGAGTTAGTAACCATGGCTCCCACCTCATGATGTATTTTATTGGTAACTTATTCTTCCGAAAATGTCAAATGAGGGTTGACTTCTGAGTGGGGCATTTGATTGTGTTGACATTCTCCACTCATGTGCTACTAGACAGTATTGTGATGCTTGGCTCGTGACTCATGAGTTTGTTGAGTTGTTTGACAGATTCATGACCCTTTAGTTATAGGACATTATTCCAGCTTCTATAACCCAGATTAGGAAGGTGAAGCCAATGTAAACACTAGTCAAGCATTTGTGTCCTCAAGAAAATGAGCACAGATTTAATGCTCTGATGTTGTTGTATCTTAGGGCCTCTCAGAATCAAGTTGGACAGCACTTTACCTTCGTACTGACAGACATTGAGAGTAAGCAGAGATTTGGGTTCTGCAGACTCACATCAGGAGGCAGTATTTGTTTATGTATTCTTAGGTGAGTAATTGTAACCAACACTTGGCTATAAAATAAATTATCTTGCTTTTCTGCTTTATCATGCTTGGGATTTCAGAAAAATCAAAACAAAGTAACTTTATATTTTCATTTTCTTTACTTGTTCAGTCTAAATCCTACTTGTGAGAAATTATCTCCACACACAGAATAAATTGTTTACCAATAATATTAGAAATTTTCTTAAAAGAGCTAAGTCTTTTAAAGGTAAGGTGTTGTGGATTTATCACCAAAAATTAAATATGAATATGTGAGTTGTGATATGTATAAGTAGGATAACATTTAGTAAGGTTAATATATACTCTTTTCTGTCATTGATGCATGTGTGATTTTTTTTTGTGACTGAATTTCTGTTTTAAGGCAAAGGTTGCAAACTTGTAGTTGGAGAAAGAATTCCAGACTTTTGTTAGGCCACTGGGTATTTTAAAAAGTTTAAAAGATGTTGTTAACCTATATATTTTAGGAAGTTTTGTATAGAATTTATATTCCTAATTCCTTTTGAGAAATGGGGATATTTGCTAATTGCAGGTCCTGCCTATCCCAGTGGAAACAACAAGCTGGAAGTAAATAGGGTTTAATTATTTGATGATCTTGCTAGATTTCCTAGTCCCCTCCTGAAAAGGACAGTGGTCTGAGTTGTTGGCAGTTGAGAAAGAAGTGTTTAAATTTAGAGTTTCTATACGATGTCATAGTGATCAAAGAATCCAGATGTAGCCTATAAAAAGTAGAATTTTTTACTATCATTATATAATAGATAATGGCAATTCTACACTCAATAAAATGACAATAGAATAATAATATTCAATTTTCAGATTAACATATGAAGAAAACCTTGTATATTAGTTACTTTTTATTGCTGTGGTTAAATACCATGACCAAGGCAACTTATGAAGGGAAGTGTTTATTTGGGCTTTTGGTTTTGAAGAGCTAAGAGTCCATCATCATCATCATCATCATCATCATCATAGCAGGGAGCAGGCAGCCGGCATGATGGCAGGAACATCTGAGAGCTCACCTTCCAAAACATAGCCAGGAAATCAAAGAGTCCCAACAAAAAATGGTCCCAACATTTTATCCATCAAAGCTAGTGGGTTAGTGAAATACTTTCTCCAGCAAGGCCACACCTCCTAAAACTACTAAGACAGGCACCAGCTGGATATTAAGTATTTAAATGCCTGAACTATGGGGGACACCTCCTTAAAGCCAGCACACCTTGGTATAAAATTTATGGCTTCTCTGTTCATTTGCTATTGAGCTATATTTGTCAGTCACTGAGAGGCATGCATGGTAGCACATGCCTACAATAGCAGTACTTGGAAACGAAAGCAAGAGGATTGCAAATTCAAGTCTAGTCTCTGTATATAGTGAGATCTGGTATTTAATAAAAACACTCCAAAGAAATGTTCAATCTGGAATTTTTTCTTTATTTGAATCAAAATGGATAAGTATTTTTAAGAATAAATGTGCTTTTCATTGAGGGACCACTTTTTAAAAATTCCTTGTGATAATTATATTTAAAACTTACGCTTTGTCAAAAAGAACCTTATGTTTCAAAGTATAGGTTGATTTTTTTTTTCCAGCCCTCTATGGCCTGCAACTCGTTATGTAGAATAGGCTGGCTTCAAACTCATAGTGATGAGCTTGCTTTTGCCTCCCGAGTATTGGGATTGAAGACAGACAATGCCACATCTTGTTCATGTGTTGGAATTTTTAGCTGGAGGAGGTTGTTTAGATAATGGGGTGGGGTTGGAGATTTGGGGTTTTAGTGGAGAGAGGCTCTTTTATCCTAGTTTCAAAGCTAAAGCTTAAAGGAGAACATGTTTTTGTGTACTCTAACAAGTAGATTTTTTCCCTGTGAAAAACCAAGACAATAGGCACTTTGTAATTTTATCTATGAATTTTTGAAAAATTTCATTGAAAACAAAAATTTACCGAAGAGTTCCAGGAGTATAGTGAGCTGTTGTACATATATCACTCAGATTCTTCAATTACATCATCTCTATTGCCTCATTCCTTCTCTTTTTCGCAGTTTTCCCTAGTATTTTTTATCACCCATTAGAGAATAAGCTATAGACATCATTGTTTAGATTTTAATCTGCATCCTTCAAATTGATTTCCTGATACTATTTATAATTAAAGAGTTTGAACTGTTGCCTGTTTTATCTCAAAATATTTTGAATATAGTGAACCCGTTAGTAAGCCAAATCATTAATGTATATTTATACTAGTTTATATAAGTTTCTTAAAGTTTTTAAAATAAAGAAAGCTACTATTATCACAAAACATTTGTGTAAAACATGAAATATGCTTCTTGTTAAATGTGTTATATATACATATGTATATGTCTGTAAGCCAGTTGTCATTAATTTATAGAAGTTATTATATTGACTCAAATTTGTGCATTTGGGAGTACAGCTGAGTTTTCTTTTGGATTCCTGAGTTAGAAATGGTTTTATCTGCAAAAATGATTATATTATGTGAATGTAATAAAAGTAAAAGCATATGTTAATAAGATAGCATTTTATAGTGAGTATCATTGGTTATTGGGTTTTTTAGTTGTAATGTTCTTTTATAGTTAGTCTCTTTTTGGTTGTTTGATAGTGATTCTTACGGGTAACTAATAAATGGGTTGTACTTGGTGAGACATCCTGAGGAAGCTTTTAAGCAAAATTCCTTGTTTCCTCTGGGATTAGAAAAGCATTGCAGGCTTGATGGGGATGTACCCATCTTTGTCCTTCAAAGTCAGAGTGCTTTAGTTAGTGTTAGTTATCCCTCCTCACATTCCCTCCTCTGCTCTGCCCTCCTATTCCCAGTCCCATTTAAACAGTTCCATTCCATTATTCCTCTTTCCCTCTATATCAATGTCTCCTGTCTCTTTCTCCCACACTGTTTTTCTCATTTCTACGGCTAGTCCAAATGAAGTGTGCATACCAAGTTTTAAATCCACTATCCACATTGAGAGAAAACATGAGATAGTTATTTTCTTATTTGGGTTTCTATGGCTTGATGCAACACCACGAAAAAAAACGAAAAAGAAAGGGTTTATTTGACTTATACTTTAGCATTGCTGTTTATCACTGATGAAAGTCAGGGCAGGAACTCAAACAGGACAGGATACTGGAGGTAGGAGGCCATGGAGAGGAGCTGCTTACACTTGCTTGCTACCTATGGCTTGCACAGCCTGCTGTCTTATAGAACCCTGGACCACAAGCCTAGGGATGGCACCACCCACCATGGGCTGATGAGGTGGGCAAGAAGTGCCCACCCTTGGTTAGGGAGCTATTGGTAATTTATAGCTTCTTGGGCAGGGAAATCCAGTTTTCTTAAAAGGTATGGCTCCTGGTAGGTGGGCCACTCTCTCCAAGGCAGAACCCGCCCCCAAGAATATTTAGTTGACATATACTGACTGAATGGATTAAAAAATATCAGGATGTGAAATAGTGACCTCTGAAAGAAAAATAATGTGCTGATGCGGTGACTATGATGGGTAGGAATCCAGGAATTAGTGAATTTATCTGATTTCCATTTAAAATGGTCAATATGAGAAGTGTTTATTGATTGAAAAATGTGTTATATATTTCTTACTAGATTTTATACTTTTTGTTTTGTTTGTTATGTTTTTGTTTTTGTTTTTTGAGACAGAGTTTCTCTGTGTAACCCTGGTTGTCCTGGAATTCACTCTGTAAACCAGGTTGGCCTCGAACTCACAGAGCTTCACCTACCTCTGCCTCCTGAGTGCTGATATTAAAGGAGTGTGCCACCACCACCCAGCTTAGATTTTGTGTTGTACACTAAGAATGTACTAGAAAAAGTTTGAGATAATACAGATATTATACACACATTCAAAGCTTAGAATTAAATAGTAATTTTTGTGTAAAAGTGCTGGAGAAGGGACATGAAAGTGTCTCCAGAGCTACCCAGAATCTCTCAGACTTTTCCATTTGTAACAGGTATCCAGTCTGGAGAGAGAGTTGCTGTTTTTCTGACTATGACTAAAGGCTGAAGAAGCTTTAAAATGTTGACAGTCATGTTGGCTAAGCCTTTGATTGGAATTGTGTACTTACTATGGCTAAGACTAACTGAAGAACTTTCAAAGTGCTTTCACCAGCAAGTCACAGCACATACACACAGGTCTACCAAAGAAAACACAAACCATCAGTGTTTGTGACACATAATGTTTGCACTGAGACATTAAAGTTTCAGTATTGGGTCCTTATGACCAAAGGTCTATTTATGTATTTTTGTACAGTTTATCAAGTTATTAACTGTTGTTAGTTTTTATAACTTAAATAATGCATGGATATTTTTAAAATAGTTCATAGGAGCTCTGTTGACTATAATATTCTCCTGTGCAAGTGTCCAGAAATACCATATGTGGTTAATCTGACAATTGCTTTTATTCTTACTTTCCTGATAAGTTGGTACTGCACATGTACTGCTAAAACCATGTGTTAGTTTTCTCCCAGAATTATGTCATCATAATATTTGCCAGTTAACATGTTTTTAATTGCTATTTTTCTTGTTTAATTTTTAGAAGAAAAATTAAAGTTTAGTACAATGTAATATTAAAATTCCATTTAATTTGAGGCTTGTGATGTCTGAATTCTTTCTCTGCAGTGTCTGTCCTGGTTTAGCAAGATTTCAAAGCTGTCCTCAGAGATCACTAACTTAAGTCTTATTGCTTATGTTTAGAATTGCTTTCATATGCTAGCAAAGAGTCAAGAAATACTCTTCCACCTCTAATTTCATTAACTTAATTTTACAACTATAAAAATGTCGCCAAGGGTTCAAAATGAAATACTCTAATGAGGAGGGCAGATTTATGTTGAAGGCTTTTGTAGCCCCGTTTGCTACCTGTAACTCACACCAAACTTGAAGGCTTCAGGTTCTTCCTTTGGACAAATCCCTTAGAAACAGAATGTTTCAATTTTTCACATTTTGTGTCAATTTTCTAAAGGACAAACAACCTCTAGACATGAGAGGTT